TGGAGTACACTGATGCGATCTTGGCTCACTGCCTCCTGGGTTCAAGAGATTCTCTTGCTTCAGCCTCCTGAGTAGCTGAGACTACAGGTGCCTGTCACCATGCCTGGCTAATTTTTGTATTTTAGTAAGACAGGGTTTCACCACTTTGGCCAGGCTGGTCTCGAACTCCTGAATTCAGGTGATCCACCCACCTCGGCCTCCCAAAGTGCTGGGATTATAGGCATGAGCCACCGTGTCTGGCCTGAGCCATCAGTTTCTGAGTAAAATATGATTATGCCCAATTTACAACCAAGAAAAACAGAAGAACTTAGAACTTAAGCCACCTGTCCCAGCAGTACCCCACAGCAGTTAAGGAAGCATACTCAAGTTTGAATGTCTAGGCTTGAATCCTGACTTGGTTACTCGCCTAGCTGTTTTACATTGGGCAATTTCATTAACCTCGGGGCCTCAGTTGTCTCACCTGTAAAATGAAGATAATCACAGTACTGACTTCACCTGATACATAGCAACTTGCAAGTTTCAGCTTTTACAGGGTGAAAATGGGACTAAAACCTTCTGACTCGGGGTCTAGCATTCTATTGTATCTCATTAACTTACATTTCCCCAATGCCAGCCAGCTCTCTGCCTCTTGACCTGGGGGCTCTGTAAACTCAGAGGCCTAAGCCACAGAAGAGGATTCAGAGTTGCCTTCTAAGGGCAGGGGAATGAATGGCCTTGCTCTGCTCTGAGGTTTCATAAGCACTCGACAGGTTGGAGAAGTTTACAGGCTGACAACCTGTCTATTGCTAAGACCCTGGTCTCTCCTACACTATTATAGTTCCCCCTCAGCTATTTCCTTTCCCTGCTTCCCCAATGCCCACAACTAAACTCCCAGAGAATTTTACCATTTGCTAGGATGCTACCACTTGTGACCCTGCATGATGTTCATGTGGGCATGAGTCCTCTGCATGCCTCATGGAGAAAACTCTGCATAGCCTCTTCTAATATAGTAGCCACTTGGTGTGCAAGCAAGATTACCTTCCAAGGCCTTGGTTCCCAGTCACCTAGAGGCATGAATATCAATCAATTGGTAAAGCAGAATTGGTAAAGAACAATTAGTATTTTATCAAGTTGAGTGTAAGCTAGGCCTCAGCTCTTCCAAACTTCTAACTATTCTGTTGTATGAGTCTTGAGTTTGTCCTGGATTTGTGTGTGTGTACTCACTTGCTATTTGTTACAAGAATCAGTGTGTGCCTTAAGGCAACAGAACTTCTGAGACTGACAAGGACTCGGGCTTGCCTGCTGTCTAATCCTGAACTTTGTTTTAGGCTCATTCAGGACGGGCCCTCTAGCAATGGAAAACAAGGGGTCAAAGCAAACTGTTCTTACCTTCACTCCTCTCTTTATAAGACATAGGCACCAACCCATCAAACAAATAATTTACAGGATTGTTAATATGGTTTTTAAAAGCATGGGAGGCCGGTTTGAGTGCTGTCACTAACTCACTGCGGATAAAGTTTTGTCCCTTTTCTGGGCCTGTTTCTTTTCCTGTGAAGCAGACAGCCAGGTCACACATCTAAGACCTCTTTCTATTGCTCCACAACTTCTGCTGTCTGAATGCTTCTGGGCAGGACTTGTTGGGTCTGTGCACAGAAGGGAAGGAGACAATGCATTTAAGTTTATCAAACCAAAAGGATTAAGACCAAGAACGGCATTTCAAGACATTTCTCTTTTTGCTACTGGATTATTTTACTGTCCAAATAGTGAAAGATTCACTTTGTTTCTTGTCTATCCACAATCCTAGGCACCCTACTTTCAAGCCCATCTTCTCCAGATTCTCTTTCCTCTTAGTTCTGTACAAAGCCCTTGCTATTGAGTTGACTGGTCATTTCGTCCAGTGATCCTGAATAGCATTTAAATCTTCTTCTAGTTCTCAAACTTTTCAAATCTAAGTTCCTTTGGGGGAAGGAGCGGTGTATTTTGCTTTGCTTTTTTTCTTTCCCTAAAAATACCACAGTAGGGACTCAGCACTTCGTTTGGTTGAGACTTCAAGGCAGATTCCCACTTTCTGGCCTGTTTCAAAATCATTCTGAGTTGCAGGAGGCAGGGCCATGGGTGACTGCAAAGGACTTTTCTGTCTAATGAGAGGGCAGAACCAGGTTATCTCTAGGATTCCTTCCAGCTCTAACATTACTGGATGGTATCTGCATGCTGTAAACCTAGGGCCCCAGGACAGATCAAGACCGCTTTGGAATCCCAAGTAAGGAAAATTTAACTTGGAGTAATTTTGGTCTTTGCTCTCTATTTTAATATTATTAACAAGCAAAAATGATTATCTATTTACTACTTAAAAAATCAACACATGGTGAGTGTCATTTTCATAAGCAGAAACAATCACATTTTTTTCATTACTCTGTCTCTGAGCCCTGAACAAATAGTGGTTCAAATATTTTGAAGACGCCAAACAGCCGAAGGGACATATCCAGTATGTGGCCTAAAGCAAACGATTTCATTTTTCTAGGTCTCAGTTTTAGTTCACAAAGGGAGGATGAAAACAGCGGTGTTTCTGTCAACTTGCTGTGCCTGACAAGACAGAAAATAAGGTGTGTTCGTGGTGAAACAAGTTTGGGAAACTTGAAAGGGGTGAGGGTAGAGTACAGAACATGGTGCAAACTGATCCGAGGCAGCGAATTCCTCTCTATGCGGAGCACTTGCTGACATTAATCGTTTGTACAGTTACCCTATGTACCTAATGTCATAGGTATACACCCCTATCTTACAGTAAAGGAATGCTCCTCATAGGGTTTGAACAATTTGCTCCATGTTTTGTGTGGTCAGTCCTGGGACGAACCAGAGGGTCTACCCCAAAGTCCATGGTACTAAGCACTATGCAATGCTGCCACGAGTCACTGTGGAATTCTGACAAATTCTTTGGGTGAGGAAAGTCTACATAGTATTTATATGTTGAGAGAGTAAGCAAGAGCTTCAAACTGAGGTTGAAGGTTCGAGACTGGCATCAATGAACTGCGGACACAAGGAGTAAACATTTGGCAAAGGAAATTCCCACATCAAGCAGTCTTCTAGTAGGAAGTCCAGACCGTCCAGACCGTCCATTGGCAGTAGAGAAGACAGTCTGAGAATGGAAGGATTTGGAAGTAAGTGATGCACTCCTAGAATATAAGTAAGACAAAAGAATCCCCTGAGAGCATTTTTTTTTTTTTTTTTTTTTTTTTTTGAAACAGGGTCTTGCTCTGTAGCCCAAGTTGTAATGCCGCTGCAGGATCATGGCTCACTGTAGCCTCAACCTCCCAGATTCAAGCGATCCTCCTGCCTCTGACTCTCGAGTAGTTGGGACTATAAGCCTGTGCCATCATGTCTGGCTAGTTTTCTTCTATTTTTTGTGGAGACTGGGGTCTCACTTTGTTGCCCAGGCTGGTCTCAAACTCCTGGGCTCAAGCCATCCTCCTGCCTCCCAAAGTGCTGGGATTAGCTGTGAGTCACTGTGCTCTGCTGGACGTCTTTTCAAAACAAAACCACTCACGCTGGGGAGAGGGTGGGCTTCTCAGAGTGGATGGGGCAGGGATGGACATAAAGGTAGACATCTATTTAAAGGGATTTAGGTGATACTGATTCATGTTTCCAATTCCACCGTCAAACAACTGACTTGCAATGGAATAAAAAGTGTTCTCTTGGGAAAGGCTTGGGGAATCTTAAAGTTGGGCAAAAGCCCCAAAGAAGATTTTAGGAGACCACCCCCTCCAAACTCACCCCAAATCCTACCCATTCTTAAAAGTTCATCCTCAGGGTAGGGAGAACAGCATTACACCTTTGAAAGGACCCAGGCCTTGAATCAAGACAGATCTGGGTTCCCCATCACTTAAGCTCTGAGAAACTTAAGGAAACCAGGAGCATAGTCAAACTTCCCTTTCAAGCAGATTAACCCTGATCAAGTTATTTGTTCACTTCTAAGCCTAGTTTCTCTATTTATAGAAAGAGGACAGAATTTACTTTTGAAGTTATTACCTAAAAATTACTTCAGCGCTAAGACCACAGCTGGGCCTCGGATTAGTCAACTTTCTTCCCCTGGATCCTCCTGCCTCAGAAAGTCTCCTCAAACTTTCCAATGTCCCTCTCCTCCTCTCCGTGAAGACACCTAGCTAACAGCAGTAGTAGGAACAAGGCTTGTGGGTACCGAGTATTTAGGATGAACACGGTCCCTAACGGCAGTCAAAACCGGGAAATTAAGGTAATTAGTTCTTCCAGGACTTGAAGACCACTTGCCTCAATGAACCCCATTTTCCTTCTAAGTAAAACCACTTCCCAGCCAGCCTCTGAGGTTAAGAAAAAGATTAAGATTGTAAAACAAAGGGAAAAGATGTTGAATGCTTTGTTATGTGACAGCTCTCAGGCCACCTGTGAGGGCTGTCAGCCTGCATGCCTCGGAGGACCAAGCAAGAAAACCGCCAGTTTGCTTGGCTGCCTGGGATGAAGGACTGGGGGCCTCAGAGGAAAAGGCAGAGTAGGAGGCCACAAGAGTTTGGGGGTGGGAGCTGGAGGGTGTTAGGAAACTTGGAACCACACAGGGAGAGGGTGTGGATGGGTCCAGTGAAGTTTTTTCTTTTTGTTCGTTTTGGGAGGGAAAGAGAGAGGCCCTAGAGGGTGAGTGGGCTCCGCAGTTCTGCTACTAACTGAACCCAACACCTCCTCCACTCCCTGACCGATCTAAAAAGGTAGTAGGCATTTAATCACCATAGCTCACAATTACTGAGCACCTATTAAGTTAATGGTTTGCACTTAAGCTCTTGTTATTAAAATATCAGCCAACGTTAGGCCCAGAAACTGATCCTGGGACCTGAAAAGAGGGCCGAATTCCTGTGCCTAGAAAAGGAGGGTGTGTCCGGGCACAGGGTGACAGGAACCAGGTCTGAGGCCTAGGGGGGCCGGGAACAATGTGTGCCAAACCGTCCGGAGAGGCGCGGACCCAGGCCTTGCAAATGTGGAAAGGACGGCGGTGCTCCTACCTTTCAGTGAGGTCTCCACCAGGCGCAGGTAAAGCTGCGAGCTCTTATTGCCGTGACTCATGCGCTGCGCTAGCCCGTTGCGCTGCAGGACGCACTCCTCAAACTGCACGACGTTTTGGTGGCGCCGCTTGAGGCTGGTGAGGGCCCAGAATTCAGCCAGAGCTAGCTCCACGTTCTCGGGGGCGTCGCAGCGGATCTTCTTGACCGCCACTCGGGCCCCGCTGCGCCCGGCCACTGCCTCGTAAACCACGCCGTAGCTGCCGCGCCCGATCTCCGCCAACAGACTGTAGCGCGGCCGAGCGGACCCGCCACCGCCCTCTGGCCATCGCCGCGCCAGGTAGGCCTCGCCCGGGGCCTCGGTCGCCACCGGATCCATGGCCTGGGCCGCCGCCACTGGCCTCAGCTTCGTGCTGGGCGCCCGCGGCACTGGGCTTCGCCTTTTCCGCTCCGGGCTTTGTGTACCTCTGCGGGCGCCGTCCTTTCCCGTTTCCATGGCTGCGGGCGGCGGGGGGAGCAGCAACGGCGCTGCCCGGGCCCCCCCTGCCTCATCCCTTCGTCCGGCCCCGGGACGCGGAGGAGCGGGACCTTGGATTGTGACCTGCAGGCCAAAGAATCGGTTAAACGACCAGGCCGAGGCGGGGAGGCCAGGAGAGTAGGCCGCGGAGCGCCCCACCTCCTCCTCCCCCGGCCGCCGCGGCCCCTTTAAGACGGAAGCCACCGCCGCTGATTGAACGGGGGAGGGGAGGGGAAAGCGGGAAAGACGGAACCACTGGGCAGCGGCTCAGAGGGCGAACCGGAAAGAAAAGCACAAACTCTCCCCTTTCTCTGTTAGTTTGTCGTGTAGCGATAAGAAAAAGAACACACAGAAAGCTTAACGCCTTCTGAAAACCGCCTTAAGATGCGATTCGGCCGGCGGAAAACTTTTTCTTTGCCCGTACCCCTCCGTGACGCCCCTCCCCGCGCCCCACCTTGTGTTCGCCCGGGTGTAAACAGTCCATTGAATTAAGCCCTAGCGGAGCCCGGCGGACCGACCCAAGTCCCCTAGGGCGGCGGGTAGAAGAGATTGGCTAAAAAGTTCCGTGTCTCGGAGCGCGACCGGCCGAGGAATCCGATTGCCCTCCCCGAGCGCGGAGGCAGTGGCAGTAACTCCATCCTCGGTGCTGGCTCTTCAGTCCTCGAACAGTACCCTTACCTGGCCCGCGCACCTCCGCTTCCGGGCTGTCCGTTTCACTCCTGGAGCCCCTGTCTGGGGATGGTCCGCTCCGCGATGAGGCTGCCTCCGTGACCGAGCTGCGCGGGAGGTGGTGGCCCGAGCCCGGCGTGTGGCGGGTGCTTCTGCTGCCGCGGCGCTCGCTGGGGAGGCCTGGGCTCCCAGGCTCCCGTGGCTTTCCACGTGTTCCCGCCAGCTGAGCCCTTTACATAACCTCTTTACATAAGCTGCACCTCCCGCCGACGCCCGGGCCAGCGGAGACTCCTGGTGGCCCATCCCCTGGGAGGCCAGCCGAGTGAGTCCTGCGCCGCCTGGTCCTGCCAAGGTCGACGGAGCAGCCGCAGCAGAGCGCACCAGCACGCCTCGCCGGGGCCCAATCACCGGCGAGAACACCCAGCCAACAAAAAATAGGCGCCAAATTCCCGTGATCCGCGGCGGCCCGCGCACCGCGACCCCTTCTCCTCGCCTGACCTGCGTGAAGACCAACCGTACGCAGTAGGCGCTTAATAAATACTGATAGGGTGATTGTCTTGGTTTTTTGATTCATAACTCGGTCTGGGAACGTTAGGGAGTGGGTTGGAATCCTGACCTTCCCTTCTACCAGCCCAGTAATCTTGTGCAAATCATTGCCACAACCTGAGCATCGTTTATCTGATGATCCTCTGCTAAATGGATTAAATGGGCCTTAATTCTCAGGAACAATAGAACCAAATGAAATACATAGATAGAGGCTAATTGGGTGTGGGGCTGAGTTAATACTCAAAGCTCCATTTAAGCACAGATTTTTGAGTATTTTATTCTGTACTTTGTATTACAGTGTAGGCCTAGTGGGTGCCCAGTGTTAACTGAATCTACCGTTATCTATTGAACACCTGTAATGTGCTAGGCACCGTTTTAAGTCTCTGGGGAAAGAGAAGTAGACAAGGCAGTTTCTGCCTTGGTTGAGGTTCTGTGTCACTGCAGGAGACAAACCACATGGGTGGCCTTGGGCAAGTTAATCAACTTTCTTGTGGGTTTTTACCTCACCTGTAAGAAGATTCACAGAGGTTATCCAGATAAAGCACTTAGGACAGCCTTACACACAGTCAATGTTAAGTATTAAAGGATAATTTTTGCCATTGATAAGTGTGATGGAGAAGAAGAATGAGCTAAAGAGTGCTCGTTGGGGACAGGCTATATCTGATAGTGTATTTAGTCGCTGAAAGCCTCTAATGTTTTTGTGATTAAATTTCAAATTTACACATAAATTTCAAGAATCATAAAGATCATATACTTTTTTACCAGAATAACAAATTGTTATATTTTGCTGCATTTCCGTATCTTACACACACACACACACATATATTGTGTGTAGATATCCATATGGTTTATACCTGAAAAGAAAGGGAATCAGTATATGGTATATAGATATTCACACACACACACACACTCACACTTATATAATGTATATATATATATTTTAGGACATCATTTTAGAGTTTCCAACAAGCTTCTTTATTCCAAATATTTATATGTCTTTCCTTTAAAAAAGGCATTATCTTGCATAATCTCAGTACAGTGATCAAAAGTCAGGAATTTTAACAATGATACAATTGTGTTATTTAATACACTCCATCCATATTTAAATTTTGCTAATTGTCTCAATCATGTTCTTTATAGCTATTCCCCAGGATGCAATTCAGGATCACACGTTTCATTGACTTGTCATACCTCTTTAGTTTCCTTTAACCTGGAAGGGCAGTTATCCAGCCTTCGTCTTTCATGACCTTGACATTTTGGAAGAGTACTGGTGAGTTATGTTATAGAATGTCCCTAAATTTTGATTTTAATGTTTTCTTATGATTACATGCAGAGTATGCACTTCCCCCCCCGCCCCACATTACCTACCCATCCCTTGCTATTCTGAGAGGGTGAGGGTTTGCATTTTCTGGCAGGAATGTTACTGAAAAGAGTTGCCTCCTCAGGGCCTTTCATCAGGAGGCACATGACATTGTATTTGTCCCGGTATTCGTGGTATTAACTTCCATCATTTGGTTGAGGTTGTGTAGGGGGAGGTACACGCCACCATAAAGTTACAATTTTTCCTTTTGTAACTATTAAGTATCCTGTGGGAAGATATTTTGAGACTGTTTAAATATCCTGTTCTTCACCAGACTCTTACCCACTGGTTTTAGAATTCATGCGGATTCTTGCTTGAAACAATTATTACGGTTGCAAAATGGTGATCAGAAAGTCTTTTTAAACATGACCATTAACAATCTTCGTTACTTACCCTCTCACATCCTCTGATTCCCCCGCCACCCTTCCCAGCCTCCAGTAACTATCATTCTACTTTCTCTCTCTCCATGGGTTCAGTTGTTCTGATTTTTAGATCCCACAAATAGAACATGCAATGTTTTCTTTCTGTGCTTGGCTTATTTCACTTAACATAATGATCTCTGGTTCCGTCCATGTTATTGCAAATGACTGAATCTCATTCTCTTTAATGGCAGAGTAATACTCCATTGTGTATAAGAACTACATTTTCTTTATCCATTTATCTGTTGATGGACACTTAGGTTACCTCCAAATCTTGGCTGTTGTGAACAGAGCTGCAAAAAACACTGGAAAATTGAAATACTGATTTCCCTTTCTTTTGGGAATATACCCAGCGGTGGGATGGCTGGATTATATGGTAGCTCTATTTTTAGTTTTTTTTGAGGAACTTTCAAACTGTTCTCTATAGTGGTTGTACTAATTTACATTCCCACTGACAGTATATGTTCTCCACATCCTTGCCAGAATTTGTGATTGCTTGTCTTGGATATAAGCCATTTTAATTGGGATTAGATGATATCTCATTGTAGTTTTGATTTGCATTTCTCTGATAATTAACAGTGTCGAGAACCTTTTCATATTTGTGTTTGTCACTCGTATGTCTTTTTTTTTGAGATGGAGTTTCGCTCTTGTTACCCAGGCTGGAGTGCAATGGCGCAATCTCGGCTAACCGCAACCTCCGCCTCTTGGGTTCAGGCAATTCTCCTGCCTCAGCCTCCTGAGTAGCTGGGATTACAGGCACCTGCCACCATGCCCAGCTAATTTTTTTGTATTTTTAGTAGAGACGGGGTTTCACCATGTTGCCAGGATGGTCTCGATTTCTTGACCTTGTGATCCACCCGCCTCGGCCTCCCAAAGTGCTGGGATTACAGGCTTGAGCCACCACGCCCAGCCTTTTTTTTTTTTTTTTTTTTTGAGAAATGTCCATTCAAATCTTTTACCCATTTTTAACCAGATTATTAAATGTTTTTCCTATAGATTTGTTTGAGCTTTTGATGTATTCTGTTAATTCCTTGTCACATGGATAGTTTGCAAATATTTTCTCCCATTCTGTGGGTTGTCTCTTTACTTTGTAGATGTTTCCTTTGCTGAGCAGAAGGTTTTTTAACTTGGTGTGATCCCATTTTTACTTTGGTTGCCTGTGCTTATAGAGTATTACTCAAGAACTCCTTGCCCAGACTGATGTCTTGGAGAGTTTCCCCAAAGTTTTCTTGTAGTAGTTTCATAGTTGAAGGTCTTGGATAAAATTCTTTGATCCATTTTTAGCTGATTTTTGCATATGGCAAGAGATAGGGTTCCAGTGTCATCCTTCTGTATATCCAGTTTTCACAGCTCTATTTATTGAAGAGATTATCTTTTCCTCAGTGTATGTTCTTGGTATCTTTGTTGAAAATGAAGTTCATTGTAGGTATGTGGATTTGTTTCTGGGTTCTCTATTCTGTTCCATTGGTTTATGTGTCTGCTTTTTTTCTGATACCATGCTGCTTTAGTTACTGTAGTTCTGTTGTATAATTTGAAGATTTGAAGTCAGTTAATGTTATTCCTCCAGTTTTCTTGTTTTTGCTTAGGGTAGCTTTGGCTATTCTGGGTCTTTTATGGTTCCATTTAAATTTTAGGACAGTTTTTTTTATTTCTGTCTAGAATGTCATTGGCATTTTGATAGGATTTGCATTGAACCTGTAGATTGCTTTGGGTAGTATGGACATTTTAACCAATATTGATTCTTCCTATCCATGCACATGAAATATCTTTTCATTTTTTGGTGTCCTCTTCAATTTCTTTCAGTGTTTTATAGTTTTCATTATAGAGGTCTTTCATTCTTTAGTTAAATTAATTCCTAGATATTTAATTTATTTGTGGCTATTATAAATGGGATTACTTTTTGCATGTGTGTGATGGAGTCGCGCACTGTCACCCAGGCTGTAGTGCAGTGGTGCAATCTCGGCTCACTGCAGTCTCCACCTCCTGAGTTCAAGCAATTCTCCTGCATCAGCCTCCTGAGTAGCTGGGACTACAGGCGTACACTACCACACCCAGCTAATTTTTTTTTTAGTAGAGACGGGATTTCACCATGTTGGCCAGGATGGTCTTGATCTCCTGACCTGGTGATCCACCCGCCTTGGCCTCCCAAAGTGCTGGGATTACAGCCATGAGCCACCACGCCTGGCCACTATAAATGGGATTACTTTTTAAGTTTCTTTTTCAGATTTTTCACTGTTAAAGGTAGAAATACTACTGATTTTTGTATGTTGATTTTGTATCCTGCAACCTTACTGAATTGATCAGTTCTAATGGTTTTTTCCAAATATAAGATCAATAATATGTAAATAAGGATAATTTCACTTTTTCCTTTTCTATTTGGATAGCCTTTATTTCTTTCTCATGTCTGCTTGCTCTAGCTAGTGCTTCTAGTACTGTGTTGAATAACAGTGGTGAAAGTGGGCATCCTTGTTGTGTTCCAGATCTTAAAGGAAAGGCTTTTGGGTTTTCCCCATTCATATGGTACTAGCTGTGGGTTTATCATATATGGCTTTTATTATGTTGGGGTATTTTCCTTCTATCCCAGTTTTTTTTTTTTATGGTTTTTATCATGAAGCAGTGTTGAATTTTATCAAATGCTTTTTCAGCATCAATTGAAATGATCATATGGTTCTTGTCCTTCATTTTGACAGCCTTATTTTAACTTAATGGCCTCTTTAAAGACCTTATCTTCAAATACAGTCACATTCTAAGGTACTGGGAATTATAACTTTAACATGAATTTGGGGTGAGGAGAGACACAATTCAATCCATAATAGCCCCTTTGGCATTTGGCATTTGAAATGAAACCTGAATGTCAAGAACCCGGCTCTGAAAACTAACAGGAAGTCATTCCAAGAAGAAAGTCGAGCAAGTACAAAAGCCATGAGATGGGAACAAGCTTGTTGTTAAACCAGCCATTTGTTAAGATTTTAAAACGG